TCCGTGTTCATTACCCAGATTTCACAAGCATATTGTTGTTGTTATGTGCCGTGGAGTCGGTTCCAACTCATACCAATCCTGTACAGGGTTTCCGAGGCTGTAAATCTTTACGGGAGCAGAAAGCCTCATCTTTCTCCCACAGAGAAGCTGGTAGTTTCGAACTGCTGACCTTGCGGTTCACAGTCTGATTCGTAACCACTACGCTACCAAAGCTCCTTACAAGCATATTAGGCTATTGAAAATACCATGCATCTTAATCTTCAATGTGATATTTTTGCTTTTTAACACTTTAAAGAGATGGATTTTTTAAAATAGATTTGCATAATGCAATACGTCATTTGATTTCCTGGCTGCTGCTTCTGTAAGTGTTTATTGTGGATCCAAGTAAAATGAAATCCTTGGCAACTTTAATTATTTCTCAGTTTATCATGATGTTATTTACTGGTCTAGTTATGAGGATTTTTGTTTTTCTTATTTTATGTGGTACAATCCATTCAGAAGGAGCTCTGGTAGCGTAGTGGTTACGAATCAGGCTGTGAACCGCAAGTTCAGCAGTTCGAAACTACCAGCTTCTCTGTGGGAGAAAGATGAGGCTTTCTGCTCCTGTAAAGATTTACAGCCTCGGAAACCCTATACAGGGTCGCTATGGGTTGGTACCGACTCGATGGCACTTAAGAACGACAACAAGAATCCATTCAGAAGTGTCTGATTTTGCACAGTAAGTTCTTCAAGTCCTCTTAACTTTCAGCAAGCAAGGCTGTAGTAGCTACATATCACAACTAGGCAGCAAAACAAAAAACTCATTGATAACATGGGCAGTAATAATACTAGGTGAAAGAATAATAATACTAGGTGAAAGACTATTCTCTTTTACCCACAAATAAATGTGTTGCTGTTAAGTGCTGTTGAGTCTGTTCTGACTCCTAGTGACCCTGTATAGGGTTTCTGAGGAATGGCCGATGGGTTTGAACCACCCATCTTACAATTAGCAGTCCAATGCTTATCCTGTAGTGCCACACTAAATAAATATGCTGCTGCATGCCATCAAGTCGGTTCCAACACATAGTGTTACTGAGGCAATAAATCATTATGGGAGCAAAAAGCCTCATCTTTCCCCCCAGAGCAGCTGGTGAATTTCAGCTACTGATCTTACAGTTAGTAGTCCAACGTGTAACCCATTAAGTAGCAGGGCTCCTTCCAAATAAATAAAGGTAAGCAAATTCACTGTGGGGTTTACAGTGAACTTTACCTAACGTATTTGGTCTTTGTTTTTGGGTTCTGACCGTGATTGAAGTGTCTGTTACATATGAAAGTTCTAAATCACACTCATCTAACAGATTATACTAATGAAGTGACTCTTGAGTGAGGGCTGGCCAGCCCAGAAAGACCAATCATATGATACCAACCCAACCTCAGGGGAGGGAGGCTGGTGGTTGGGTTGAGCCATGTGGATAATAATTCGATCAATCATGTCTATGTAATGACTCCCCATCCTAAGAGCTGTGGACACAGAATCACCATGAATGATGAAACATAATGGTGCTTGAAAGGTGACAGCTACATTTTGTGGGACATACCAACTCTGTATCTGGACCCTCCCAGACTTCACTCTGTGTGTCACTTATATCCCCCCCCTTTTTTTTTTTTTTTTATTGTTGTATTGTGAATTATGTGATACTTTAGATGGGAGAACATTAGTTTTACATTCATCCTATCGTATATCGTTTCATTGCCGTGGTTACAATCCCCTCCATGCATCATCAATCAAACAAAGGGTATACCCTATAAGCCTGTCCCCCAATTGTCAGCACACAGCCCTTCTCCCTTTCTGGCTCTAAAGTCCCCAGCTGCTCCATCTCTCTATGTCATTGTCTCTGCCTCCATCTCTGGCGTCACCGCTTTCTGCTCTTCTCCCTTGATGGTCCCAGGGACCTCCGTTCCTAGACTGCAAAGTTAATCACTCCCCTCCTTGCTACAAAATGTCTACCTTTACATTTCCAAACCCTACAAGCAGTCCTGATAACAATTATTCACTATTGTATCACAAGAGACCTATCCACACTTCCTTTCATTGGCCCTGCTTAGTCAGATTGGATGCTGCTCAGTGGAGATTCTACCTTCTTCCATGCCCTCTGGATCTAGGTTCCCTCTTGAAAGTTGTAAGCCAATCACTTCTTGCCTTTGTAGCCCCTCCGCTTTGGGCAGCCAATGTCCAAGTTGCCCATCCCTGTCTACTCTGTGTATGGAGGGGGTGGGAATGATCCTTTCTGTAAAGATTTGTTCCTTCTTTTGAGCTACTGTATCCATAGTTGTAGGTCAAGTTCATCAAATTGTATCAGATTATTCTTTTTTTTCCTCTTCTTTCTTTTTCTAGTTGAGCGCTGATCATCCAGTCATTGAAGCCAGGTCAAGTAGGTATTATCTGCAAGTGTGGGTACTTATATCCTTTTTGCTATAATAAAACTGTGATTGTATGTTTGTTGTTGTTGTTAAGTGCTGTCGAGTCGATTCCGACCCATAGTGACCCTGTACAGGGTTTCCAAGGCTGTAAATCTTTACGGGAGCAGAAAGTCTCATCTTTCTCCTGTGGAGCAGCTGGTAGTTTTGAACTGCTGACCTTAAGGTTCACAGCCCAATTCGTAACCACTACGCTACCAGAGCTCACCTTCCAAACTCTGTGACTTAGTCTAGCAAATTATCAAGCCCATGATATTAGTGTGAGCCAGTGGATCAGAAGTGAGCAGTGCCCTGAGGAGCCCTGAGCTTATGGTTCTCATCCTGAAGGGATAGTGGGAACTCCTTCAATTTGTATTTAGCAGGTCAGGAATGAGGGAGTTCTGTAATGGCATCAGAGAGACTCCTATGCCTGTCTCTGGGAGATTTCCCTACAAAGCTCTATCTTTCTGATACTCAACCCATCAAATTCTAGCCACAGTCACCTTGGCCTCCCCAGGCTCCAATCTCAGTGTCCTTAAATCCATATTGAAAGTCTCCCTGCCCCTGCTCCTCACCCCTCTCCCTGGCTGTTTTGCCTCTAGACAGAAAGTAGGGTCATCATGCTACTCACCTCTTTTGCTTTGCTGTTTTCAGAGATCAGAATCCTATACTGCTTGTGAATGGAAGGAGAGTGAGTCCTGTCATAGTGCAGTTACTTAACCTAATAAGGCCCTTTCTAACTATAGGCTTTGCAACTCCTACCAAATGAGTGGGTTGTCATTAAGTTTCATTGAGTGGGTTCCGACTCATAGCTACCCTGCACAGGGTTTCCAAGTAACAGTTGGTGGGTTTGAACTGTCAACTTTGTGGTTTGAAGTCTAGTGCTGATCGTATAGCACCATACCAGGAGTCCAAGTGAGTGGGTAGGACTACAAAATCCAAGGGTATTGACTAGCTTACTAATAATGTAAATACAATATATGACAACCTAATGAAGGTGGCTCCATGCAAAGAAGGTATATGGCAGCCTAACATGGAGATTGGTCAGTTTTCCCATCCTGATAGGCTTAAAATGAGCCATCCCAGAGACAGAAAGGAAATCTCATGACCATCAAGAAAGAAGAGCTAGGAATAAAGTACATCCTTTGGATTCAGGATCCCTGCTCTGAACCTCATCCATTCAGGAGATAGAGAACTGTGGCACTGGAGATAAAGGAGAGATTGAGAGAAAAAGTGCGAGAGAGGCAGCAGCAGAACCAAGAGCCCAGCAGGTGTGGTGGGCTTCTAGATCCACGGACTGAGAAAGCCTTTGAGTAGGAGCCTTGCTGGCAGAGTGGGGCATCTCTGGGTATTTATCAGCAGAGCTAAAAGAGTTTACCCAAGCAAGCCAGGAGCCAAGGAACCTGGGTATACCTTTGGGCATGACTGAGAAGAGGTTTATCTTGATCAAAGCACTGTATTCTAAATGCTCCTGAACATGAATTATAACCTGAAACTTCCCCAGTAAACCCTATACCTGTGAGTATGTTTGTGAGTTCTCTGTGGCCATTGCAATCAATTATCAATTATCAGAGGAGGAGGGAGTGCAGGGGGAGGGATGATTGGTGTCAGATTGGTAAAAAAGCTTGAGGGTGGAGGCATGTTTGACCTTGATCAGCTGATGTTGATGAAGAAAATGAGAGGAGGTCAGACACGTTCCCTACACTACTGTTACAACATACTGAATACTCTTTCATGGACACAAACAGAAGTCCACATTCGTAAAACTGACTTTCAGAAAGATGTAATTTAGGTTTCCACTCAGCATTAAGGTGCTAACCCAGACAGAAATGATTGTAATCACAGATGGGGAAGAGCCTCTGATAAACTCATTTGAAAGAAATTAGTGTACATGTTTTCAGGAAGCTGGCTGTAAAAAGGTACTAAGATTGAATTGTTACAGTAATTAAAATTTTTCCAATTAATCTGAATCAGGAGTTCAAGTCTACTTGATTTTACTAACTTTAAATGTTAAAATGTAGTTTTTAAAGTATGCGATTCATCCCTTAAAGTTCCTTTATATTATGTAAGACCTCAATATGTACACACAGATGCATTTTTGCACACCTCTAATTACCATTCAGATTCTCCTAGGAGGGATTTATTGCTTCAGTTATACTCTTAGGTAAAATAAATACAAGAGAAATGGAGCTAGATTTGTAGAGCTCATTTTTAAAGTACAGTGTGTTGTTATTGTTAAGTGCTATTGAGTTGGTTTTGACTCACAGCAACCTTGTATAGGGTTTCTGAGGCTTTAAATATTTTTAGGAGCAAAAAACCTTTTTCTCCTGTGGAGTCCAGTGCTTATCCTCCCAAAAGTACAGCTTAATGGGTATTAATTTCAGAAGCACATGTGGTGATATTTTCCAGGAAGACATGATAACTTTATTTCAATTCTTCCATCAGCTACAGCACAGGATTATGAAGACAAGTGGCATTAATCTGCACAGAGACAGGGAAGAAGGTGGCTCCACCACAGTTACAGGCTCAGTTCACTGGTGTGGTTCCCCAGCCGTGGCTGGTTTTTAATTGTTATGGAATGTGCAGACCTCCAGTAGTTCTGTGGGACAAGAACATAAGAGAAAGACTTTCATGTACTTTCTGTGCTTCCAAACACAATTCTGCACCATTTTCTAGAAGTAAATGGTAGCTAACCAACATTTAAAAACACACACACACACAGTCTCTTACAATAGATGTAAGTGCTTTCTTTGAATACATTCTGCTCTTATCATTTCCAATGTATGATGTGGTGCAACAAAAATTCAGGTATACTCCCAATAGTTTGATTATCCCAGTTCTAATTTTATCTCCCCAATTCATTTCTTTTTAGTGTAATAATATCTATTATCTACCTATCTTTCATTGGAAAGGGCCTAATATAATGTGAAATAGGCTTTATTTATTTGCTCTATTAATATTGTTTAGGTAGTTGAAAATAGGTCCTATATCTGTGGTTGTTGTTATTAAGTACCATCAAGTCAGTAGCGACTTGTAACGACCCTATGCACAACAGAACAAAACACTGCCCTGTCCAGGGCTGACCTCACTATTGTTGCCATGCTGGGACCCATTGATGCTGCCACTCTGCTAATCCATCTCGCTGGGTGTCTTCCTCATTTTCTCTGACCCTCGCCTCACCAAACATGATATCCTTCTCCAAGTAAAGTTCTCAAACAGATACACTTTTATTTTATTAGCAAAAATGAAAATACATTTGTAAGCATGTTGAATTCCCATGTGACCTCAAGTTCTATTGCATTCACTGTCTTCTTCAAATAACTTGGTCTTTTTTCAGAGTGCCTTGTACTGTTGTGTAACTGAGGGGTCCCAGCAGTGAGTCTGAATCCTCCTGCAGGGCAGGAAGCAGGCCCTCCATGGCTTTGTGTTCCTAACAGTCCCTGCCTAGATCTTGGCATACAATAGTCCTTAATACAAACATGTTTGCCTTGACCCCCATGGTACTTCTCCTTGATGTATTATTTCTACTTACCAGAGGTTAAGCATTGTCTCAAGTTACCAACAGTCATAAGATACTTGGCCCCCAAGTAGTTTTCATAAGTTGTTTTGTTTTGAAGGTTGGCCAAACATTCAGTGTCATCACTGAACAGCAGGTCCTTGCCTGAGGATGTGAACAGCTGGAAGATCGCATATTGAAACCCATTTCTTCCAAAGAGCTCCTAAGTCAGACAGACAGACAGGCAATGAGTGACCAGAGCTGTGAATTGTGCATCAAAAGACCTAAGTCTGCTGGATGCTGGGTTTCAGCCTCCTGGAAAGCTGAGACACAGTCACAGTTTAGGAAGCATCATGGCAAGATGGCAAAAAGCATGGTTTCTAGAGTCCAACTGTCTGCATTCAAATCCTGATCCTATCTATTAGTTATTGTTTGATTCGGGAAAAATATTTTTGTGAGTTCAAGAGTCTCCACACTCATTTATAAATAGAATTAATAACAATAAGCAGTGAAATGATATGGAAAAAGTATCTGGGAAACAACTCACTGACATCAAGTCCGTTTTGATTCACAGCGACCCTATAGGCCAGAGTAGAAGAGCTTCTCAGTTTTCGAGACTATAAATCTTTATGACAGTAGACAGCTTCATCTTTCTCCTGTTGAGCAGCTGGTGACTGAATGAACATAGCAGCCAGCCTTGCTCTTTAATTAGAAGCAGAGTTGGAAGAATCCATTTACATTGCCAGAGAGATAGTCTGTGCAAGTTGATGGGGCATGTCTGCTGGTCTCCACCAGGGAACTGAGCATTCAGTTGTGGAGAGGGGCTTGAGAAGCCCTGAGTGTCCATACCTGTTGGTTGAGGAGTACTCTGCGAACAAATTCTGCCTTCTCTTTCCTTGAGACCACCACATGATTTGGGACTAAGGCCAGGTGGCAGCTCTGAGCCTCGGTCACAGGCTTCCGGGAGCCATCAAGGCATAGCAACTCAAAGTCTTCCTGCTTCAAATCCTTAGCCCATGGGGCAGGGTTCTTTCCTGGGGTAGAAGGAAGATGGATCAACCAAAGCAGATAGATTTGTTCAGGGCATCCTCTCTGGCGGATGTGAACGGCCACCAGTGTCTGGAAGAATCACAACAGACACACAGACATAGAGCAATAAAACACTGCTGTTGTTGTTGTTAAGTGCTGTCAAGTCGGTTCCAGCCCATAGCGACCCTGTTTAGGGTTGCCGAGGAGTGACTGGTGAGCTTGAACCACTGACCTTGCAGTTCAAATGGCTTTGCAGTCTGGCATATTAACCCACAGCGTCACAAACATTAGAGCTTTTAAAATAAGACAAAAGAAAAATTCATAAACTCATAGTAGGCATCGATTTCTCAAATAGGACTGAAAAAGTACTAATCAAAGATGAAAATATTGATAAATTAAACTGTACAGAGAGGAACAAGGTATTTTCAATACATATACCTAGCAAAAATTTGTATCCAGGATATATAGAATGCCTTTAAATGAAGAAAAAAGGGACATGAGACTTGAACAATAACTTTATAATAGAAGATACCAAAATATTGGCCAAGAAACATAAGGTTTCCAATTCACCATCAAGGAGATAAAAATTAATTTAAAAAATGAAATTCCAATGCTTTATACTACATAACATCAGAATGGTGAAAAGAAAAGGACAGAAAATACCAAGTTTGGGTGAAGATATGAAACTCTCACAAATCACTAGTGGTAACATAGATTGGTACAACCACTTGGTAATATACTTGACTCTATGTGAAAGCAAATTATTGCATATGTATGTATGTGTATATGTTGTTGTTGTAAGTGCTATGAAGTCAGTGCTGACTCAGAGTGACTTTATATAGGGTTTCCAAGGAGTAGCTGGTGAATTTGAACTGCTGACCTTGTAGTTTAAATCAACCTTGTGATCACACCAGGACTCTGTCTTTATATATATATGGAGAGGGCTTGGGAAGCCCTGGGTGTGTATGTAATTATAAGTACATACACACACACACACACACACACACACACCACTTTTTTATCCTACTGTGGTGGCTTGAATATTTTAAATGCCAGCAGGGTCACCCATGGTAGAAAGGTTTCTGCAGAGCTTCCAGACTAAGACAGATTAGGAAGAAGGAGAAGCGGACCACTTTTGAATGGTTAGCCGCTAAATATCTTGTGGATAGTATCAGAACATTGTCTGATATAGTGCCAGAAGATGAGCCCTTCAGATTGGAAGGCACAACAGGACTGGGGAAGACCTGCCTCCTCAAAGTAGCTGACTATAGAAGTAAATGGAGCACAGCTTTCAATTCCTTCATTTGCTAATGGGGTATAACACAAAATGAGAAGAAACATCTGAAAATACCCATGACTATTTGTTACATGTGATGTATGAAGTATGAATCTAGGAAAATCATAACTCATAAAAAATGAAATGGAACACAAAAACATTGATATCCTAGGCATGAGTGAGCTGAAGTGAACTGGTATTGGCCATCTTGAATTGGACAACCCTATGGTTTACTGGGACTGTCATGTGGAGAATGACAAATTGAAGATAAATGGCAGGACATTTCGCTAGCAAAAAGAACATTTCAAGATCATTCTTAAAGGACAAGGTTGTCTGTGATAGAACAGTATCTATATGCCTACACGGAAGACCAGTTAATACCACTATTATTCCAATTAATGCATAAACCACTAAAGCCAGTGGTAAGGAAATTGAAGAATTCTACCAACTTCTGAAGTCTGGAATTGATCAGACATGCAATCAAGATGCACTAAGAATCATTGGCAATTAGAATGTGAAAGTTGGAAATAAAGAGGAAGGATCAGAAGCAACCGAAGATCACATGAATTTTGCAAGACCAATTGAAAATTGAAATACATTGAAAATATTTTTTTCTCAACAAAACAAAAGGACTTTATACACATGGATCCAACAGATGGCATAAACAGGAATAAAGTTTACCACATCTCTGGGAAAAGACAAAAGAGAAGTTCAATATCATCATCCAAAACAAGTCTAGGGGCTGACTGTAGAACTTGCTCATATGCAAGTTCAGGTTGAAAATGAAGAAAATTAAAACAAGTTCACAGGAGCCAAAATATGACCTGGAATATATCCCACTGAATTTAGAGGGCAAATCAAGAACAGATTTGATGCATTAGATACTAATGACCAGAAACCGGAAGAGTTGTGGATTGCATCAAGAACATAATAAGGAAGAAAGCAAAAGGACATAAAAAAGACATGAAAGAAAGAAAAGATCAAGATGGATGTCAGGAGAAACTTGTGTTTCAGCATAGAGAGGCTAAAACAAATGGAAGAAATGAGGAAGTGAAAGAGCTGAACAGAAAATTGCAAAGGTCAGCTTGAGAAGACAAAATAAAGTATTACAAGGAAATGTGCAAAGACCTGGAGCTAGAAAACCAAAAGGAAGAACTGGCTCAGCATTTTTCCAGCTGTAAGAACTGAAGAAAAAATTCAAGCCCCAACTTGCAATATTGAAAGATCCCGTGGAAGGAGCTCTGGTAGTGTAGTGGTTATGCGTCAGGCTGTTAACCTCTAGGTCAGCAGTTTGAAGTTACCAGCTGTTCAGTGGTAGAAAGATGAGGCTTTCTTCTTCCATAAAGATTTATAGCCTCGGGAACCCTATATAGTTTGCTATGAATCAGAACCGACTTGGTTACAAGTTGAGCTGCTAACCTCAATGTCAGCAGTTCAAAACTACCAGCGTTCTGCAGGAGAAAGAAGAGGTTTTCTTTTCCCATAAAGATTTACAGCCTTGGAAACCCTATGCAGAGTTGCTGTGAGTCAGAACTGACTCTGTGGAACATAACCACCACCACATGGGCAAAATACTGAATGATGCAGAAAGCATCAAAAGACAATGGAAGAAATACACAGAATCATTGTATCAAAAGAAATTGGTGGATGTTCAACCATTTCAAGGGGTACCATATGACCAAAAACTGAGGTACTCAATAGTGAATAATTACTATCAAGACTGACTGTGAGGGTTGGAAATGTAAGGATAGACATTTTGTAGCAAAAGGAAGGAAGTGGTTGACTTTGAAGTCCAGGAGTAGAGGCCCCTGGGACCATCAAGGAAGAAGAGTGGAGTGCGGGACCCTACCCAGAGAAACAGTGACACCAGAGATGGAGTGACACCAGACCCCGAGAGGGAGAAGGGCTGTGTGCTGATGACCAGGGGGTAGACTTGCAGGGTGTACCCTTTGGTTGTTTAATGATGCATGGAGGAGA